GCTTTTTTAGGGGGTACAGTAAGGAACAGAGGCACTAAGAGATTGAGCAACTTGCCCAAATCAAATCTTTAGTAAGTGGCAGAGCCAGGATTCTAACCTAGGCATCTGCCTTAGAGCCTGTGCTCTTATCTACTCTTGTGCTATAAACAAGGATAAACAAGCTTATAGCTGAGGTGTCAGGAGGAAGTTGAGGTAATTCCATCTGATGTCTTTTTGTTTTCCTAATGAGAAAGTATAATAGCCTGCAGAGTTTGGGGAAGTAATACAATAGAAAGGTTGTTTTTGTTTTTGTTTTTGTATTTTTTGAGACGGAGTCTCGCTCTGTCGCCCAGACTGGAGTGCAGTGCCACGATCTCAGCTCACTGTAAGCTCCGCCTCCCGGGTTCACTCCATTCTCCTGCCTCAACCCCAGAGAAGCTGGGACTACAGGCGCCCGTCACCATGCCTGACTAATTTTTTGTATTTTTAGTAGAGACAGGGTTTCACCGTGTTAGCCAGGATGGTCTCGTTCTCCTGACCTCGTGATCCACCCACCTCGGCCTCCTAAAATTCTGGGATTAAAGGCGTGAGCCACCACACCCAGCCGAAAGTTTAAGAGATTGCAGGATATGTGAGGTTAGAAGGGAAGGCTTGACATATAACCACTGTGGGGATCAGGAAAGTGTGTGCCTAGGAACCCATACATCTGCCAGGCGACAATAAGGGTTCAGTTAAAGTAGGAGGCAAGTAGGCCAGGCGCGGTGGCTCTTGCCTGTAATCCCAGCACTTTGGGAGGCCAAGGCGGGCGGATCACGAGGTCAGGAGATCAAGACCATCCTGGCTAACACGGTGAAACCCTGTCTCTACTAAAAATACAAAAAATTAGCCGGGCATGGTGGCAGGTGCCTGTGGTTCCAGCTACTCAGGAGGCTGAGGCAGGAGAATGGCTGGAACCCGGGAAGCAGAGCTTGCAGTGAGCAGAGATCATGCTACTGCACTCCAGCCTGGGTGACAGAGCCAGACTCAGTCTCAAAAAAAAAAAAAAAAAAGGAGGCAAGTATTTAGGGGTACCAGTCTGTATGGATATGTGATTTTTTTCAACAGCTTTGATAGCAACGTGGTTATAGGAGCAGAGGCAGTTTGATTTAGAGTAGTTTTTCTCATCAGAGATGATCAGAGATGAAAAAAGTGAGGGTAGTGATTAATGAATGGGATCCAGGTTGAGTAAGAAAAAAAGAGGGAGTAATAGGGAGGATGGATGGGAGTCAGGACTTTAGTGTTGATGATGAGATTCAAAGAACTTGTGTGGATAATAAGAACGGCACAGATTGAAGGTTGGGTCAGAAAGTGAGATGTGAACATTTTAGAGATAGAGCAATTCCTAGGATGACAAAGGTTAGGTGTGATGTTGGAGGTGGGTAGCTGAAGTGAATGGAAGGGAAATGTCTTTGTAATTGAGACGGACTGAGGGGCTGGAGTATTGAATGGTTGTCCAAAGGGATGCCATCAACGAGGTGACAAGATTAAGATTCAGGCAATGAATGAGAGGAAATGGAGAAATGGACCAGTGGTAATTGCTGGTTGGAGAGCAGGATCCTCAGAGAAACACTGATTTTCTTTTTCTTTTTTTTTTTTTTTTTTTTTTTTTAAGATGGGAGTCTCGCTATTGTCCAGGCAGTGGCATATTCTGGGCTCACTGCAACTTCTGCCTCCTGGGTTCAAGCAATTCTCCTGCTTCAGCCTCCCAAATAGCTGGGATTACAGGTGCCTGCCACTGCACCCAGCTAATTTTTGTATTTTTAGTAGAGATGGGGTTTTGTTATGTTGACCAGGCTGGTCTCAAACTCCTGACCTCAGGTGATCCACCTACCTCAGCCTTCCAAAGTGCTGGGATTACAGGCGTGTGCCACCACGCCCAGCAGATTTTTCTTTTATTTTCTTTATTTTTTCTTTATTTATTTTTTGTTTATTTATTTATTTATTTTTTGAGACGGAGTCTTGCTCTGTCACCCAGGCTGGAGTGCAGTGGCGCAATCTCGGCTTACTGCAAGCTCCGCCTCCTGGGTTCACGCCATTCTCCTGCCTCAGCCTCCCGTGTAACTGGGACTACAGGTACCCGCCACCACACCCGGCTAATTTTTTGTATTTTTAGTCGAGACGGGGTTCACCATGTTAGCCAGGATGGTCTCGATCGCCTGACCTTGTGATCCGCCCATCTCGGCCTCCCAAAGTGCTGGGATTACAGGCGTGAGCCACTGCACCCAGCCTCTTTTTTATTTTTGAGACAGAGTCTTACTCTTTTGTCCAGGCTGAAGTGCAGTGGCACGATCTTGTCTCACTGCAACCTCCCCCTCCTGGGTTCAAATGATCCTCCTGCCTCAGCCTCCCAAGTAACTGGGATTACAAATGTGTTCCACCACATCTGGCTAATTTTTGTATTTTTAATAGAGATGGGGTTTCACCATGTTGGCCAGGCTGGTTTTGAACTCCTCACCTCAAGTGATCCTTCTGCCTCAGCCTCTCAGAGTGCTGGGATTACAGGCATGAGCCACTTCGCCTGGCTGAAACACTGATTTTTATATAAATGTGCAAAACAGTGGTGATATTGGGAGGGATTTAGGAGAATCAGCAACACCTGAGCGATTTCAGAAAGGGGCCCAGTCAATAGCCAGATTTCAGTTACAGCCTGAAAGATAGATGAGAAGGTTTGAAGGAGAGTGGAGGGTGTGAATGCTTTTTGTTTGCCATCAGAAGAAGCATCCAGAGATCCCATTAGAAAAGTTTGGGTTAGAAGAGAGAAAAGAGAGGGACTTATATTTTGAATAGTGTCTAAGGATCAGTCCCAGTATCTGAGACCAGTGGGTATCTTTGGACTATGAGAGAAGCCAGCTATTGCTTGGATAAAGTAGACTTCTAAGAGTGATCTAGATAGCTTTGGTACTGGGAGGGCTCTAGTACATTGGTAGTGTACCAGATGGTGAGTGCTCTGTGAAAACCTTTATGCCCCTCACTGCCATCTTAAGTCTTCTTGTGGGAACTGGTGAAGTTAGGATTGAGGTGCTACTAGGCAGATATTTGTATCTGGTTGAGTAATATGACGTCCTCTGGAGATACCTAAAAATATGGAGGTGGAGTGGCTGGGGATCTGCGGGCAGGATTTTGCAGAAGTTGAATTTGAATTATGTAGTTAGTAAGGCCATGTCTTGTACTCACAGGCTTTTGAGGCACAGGGAAATTTGGGTTATGTTGCTCATGGACCCAAAGCAGCAGAGTAGGCAAAAGAGGAACATCTTTCCTATCATTGGACTTTGATGTCACAGTATTAGAGGGGTCCCCCAGGCAGTGCTGCATACACTCAAAATAGTGAAACCACCTTGGTTTTTACTTAAACCTTGCTCTCATGCAAAACATGAATCTAGAAGTGATGGGGTAGGTTAGGAGATAATTCTGAGTGACACACTATACAGGTTTAGTATCCCTTATCCAAAATGCTTGGAAACAAAAATGTTTTGGATTTCAGATTTTTTTCCCCAGAGTTTGGAGTATTTACATTATACTTATAGGTTGAGTATCTCTAATCCCCAAATCTTAAATGCTGCAATGAGCATTTTCTTTGAGTGTCATGTTGGTACTCAAAAAGTTTCTAGTTGGAGCATTTTGGATTTTGGATTTTTGGATTAGGAATGCTCAGCCTGCACTGAATTCAGAATAACTGTTGGGACTACTGTAGAACCTGGGGTGTGGGGAAGTAGAAGGGAGCGTCTGTTTTACTTTAACTTTTCTATGCTTGAGGGGAAGAACTTGACCTCCCAGTAAATCAGTAGGATTCGGGGAAGAAGAGGAGGTGGCAGGAGACAGCCGTTTTTAACCTCTGATGGTCACAGGCTCACATGACAACATTAAAGAGGAAAGGAGAGAAAAGTTCATATTTGGTTGTTTACTGTGTAATGACAGGCACTGTTAAGCTTTATGGTAATCCTCATGGGAGCTTTCTGAGGTAATAGGCATTATTCTTTTCATTTTATAGGTGAGGAAACAAAATCACAAAGGTTAAATATTAACCTTTAATAATAATAACTTGTTCAAAGTTAAAAGTGATGAACTGGCCAGGCGCAGTGGCTCACGCCTATAATTCCAGCACTTTGGGAGGTTGAGGTGGGCGGATCACGAGGTCAGAAGATCGAGATCATCCTGGCTAACACGGTGAAACCCCATCTGTACTAAAAATACAAAAAATTAGCCAGGTGTGGTGGTGGGCACCTGTAGTCCCAGCTACTCTGGAGGCTGAGGCAGGAGAATGGCATGAACTCGGGAGGCGGAGCTTACAGTAAGCCGAGATTGCGCCACTGCACTCCAGCCTGGGCGACAGAGCGAGACTCCGTCTCAAAAAAAAAAAAAAAAGTGATTAACCTTAGGATTAAATATCAGATTTGTCTGACTCCAAAGTCTGGGTCCTTCCTTCTTGATAGGGGTTGTAGCTTGTTGGGATTGGTGTGGTAGGTCCTGTTAGCAAAGGGAAACTAAAGCTTCTTCCGTAGAAATAGGGGAGAAATTAAGGCAGTGTTAGAGAATAAAAAGGGTCTTTCAAAGGGAATGACCTAGAGAGTAAATAGGGTCTTTCAAAGGAAAGGGTAGAAAGCAGGTACCTAGGTAGACGAGGCAGCAGAGAGGATGGTTGGTTCTGATTAACGCTTAATTATCTCCTGACCACTGGTAGGGAGGTAAGGGGTGAGGGCAAGTTAGTAAGAGGACGTGATCCAAGCTTTCCAGCATTTTCTCCTAGTTTTCTCTATCTAGGCAGAGACTCCTCTCTAGCTTTGCCGTCAAATTCTGGACACAGATAAGCACTTGATTTAGGGAGGCAGGCTGGCCGTCCAGAGAAGCTTTGACTCTGTCTTTCCCTCTTTCCTCTGGTAGAAGGGCATGTGGCTGAGTGGAAAGTATACACAGGCAGGAGTGAGGAGACCTGTATTCCAGTGGAGCTTCTGATGAACAGAAGTGGCAGTAGTGATTCCGAGAAATGTGGTAGGTAGAGTGACACTTGTTTATTCATGGAAGGTAAGTATAGATTGTTTTCTCAGGGGAGCCTGAGAAGCATCTTTAGGGAGGGAGTCAGGGAGTAGACCCAAAGAACTGACTTATTTGGCAATTTCAGCAAGGACCCGGAGCTGTTTCTTGATCCTTGGCTGCCAGGGCCCTATGGCCTGTGGCCTATGTTTTCGTGGTTTCGAGCAGTACGGTGGGAAAGCAGGTGTTTTCTTTTGGCCTACTTTGGTGATGGACTTTGCAGTAAACAAGGGGTTCAGCTTTGCAAGTCGAAAGTCTTGAATAGTTAACTCTTCTGGGTTCTCAGGCTCTTTCCGGAACCTTGTGGGCTCTGCCTTCACATTGGTCTTAGGTGCCTCGTATACAGAGAGAACCTTGTTTTTCAGCTTGTTTTGGATCCAGGGATCAATTGAGGCACAAAGGATTAATGTTTCTTGTAGCTGCGTTGAAACAAAGGTCCTAGTGCTGGCTCACTTTGGGTTCAGGCTAGGAGACTCCAGAGAGGGGACACCCAAAGGAAGGGGGAATTCTAGCCACAGGGCACTGTGGCCCCAAGGAACAAGGTCAAGGGACAGTGTCTAAGGGCTCATGACCCTCTCCTCCTGACAAGGAGCAAATGGTGGTGAGATAGGTGGGAGAAGCTTGGAGGAGGGATAGAGAAGAGGAAAAGGTGGGCAGGAATGCCTTACTTACACTCTTCTTCACAGCCTGGTGGTTTTCTGCATCTAGTAAATCCAGGAGCAAGTGGAACACTTGTGGGCTGCGGATCCCCAGGACACCCTGGTAGAAGCAGAGTGAGAGTGCCTACGTAGCCAGCCCCAGGAAGATGCCTTATACTCTTTCCCATTCTAGCCCCTTTGTGAGACTCTGCAGCATAGAGAGCGGGGAGATAGGGTTTCCCAGCTGAGATACTCCTTTCCTTGCCATTTGGGACCACTACATGGGACTTTAATGCCCATATTTGCTAGGAGGAGTCAAGACAATTTCAGCAGCATCTAAGCAACACCCCTCACATCAATCTTCTGTCCCTTAGCCCACCCACCCCCAACCCTGAAGAAAAGGTTATCTTAACTCTCGGTAGGGCTGGAATTCTAAAATAAACAACTTCCCCAAAATGTACAGGCCTTTATTCCCCTCAGTGACTCTGCTCAATCGCCTACTCCGCCTGCCATCAACACAGGAATTGGGTCAGAGAAGCAGAGCCCACCTTACCAAAGAGATGACTGCTTCCTGGCGTGCAGTGGCATCTGGGTTCATCAGTTGTCTGTGTAGAAGGGAGTGAGTATGTTATAGTTGAATTAAGGAGTAGGGGAAGTGGAAGGGAGGCTGGTTGCTTTTTAGGTCCAGAGTGAATTAGGCAAAGTGATGCTAATTTCATTCATTTCCTTCTCTTGTTTCTTGGATCAGAAAAGGGGCTGGGAGAGGAAAAAGAGGCACCACAGTTTGCCAGAAGGCACTGAATGATGATCAGGACTGTCCAGAACTTTTCTTTTAAAAGTTCTTTTCGTGTCATATTTTCAGCTTTATAGCAACCTATACCTAACCTTAGTAGGTATTATTACTCTCTCTTTACAGATGAACAAAAGCTCAGGGGTCAAAGAGTTACTTGGTTAGGGGCACAGGAAAGGGAGAGCTCAGGACCTGCTGCACTGCAGGTTCTCAGCTCTCACTGACCCTCTGCCCCCTTCCCACACCTAGGATTTGGCCCTGGCAGCTCCCAGGCCACTCACGCCTCCACCAAGTTCATCATCATAGGCTTCAACTTGAGTTCTTCCACAGTTTGAGCCACAGCCTGCCTCACAGCCTGCAGAGGGATCAAAATGAGTCAACAGAGAGAGGGAATGCGTAGGGTACACATAGGAGGGTCTCCTAACTCAGTCTGGGGTGCCAGGAAGTCTTCCTGGAAGAGGTGATACCTGAGCTGAATGAAACTTGGAAGGTGAGTAGGAATTAACCAGGCAGATGGTTGGGGTTGGTCAGATTTTAGGAGCAGAGGGGAGAGCATATTCATAAATCTGGAGGCAGGAGAAGGTGCAGAGAGGATGGGGAGCTGAAAATAGTTCAGCTCAGAGAGGTGACCAAATGGACTCTTCCAAGCACTCTGAGTGCTCTAATTACCCTGGGACAACAGGTATAAATCAGGACATGGTTGTTGTAAGCATAGTTGGTGCGTCGTTCTGGCGGGGAGAATGATGAGAGGTGAAGCTAGAGAGGCAAGTAGGCTTGAGCTGTGGAAGCAACATAAGCCATCCACAGGGCATTGGGAGCCAATAGAAAGTTTTATGCTGAGAAGGCACAATCTGATTTATATTTTTAAAAAATGTCTTTAGAAATATAACACCTAGTTTTATAACAAGCTATAGTAAATACAAAAGCAAGGGAACATAGAGGAAGGTAGGATTAATGCTGGTTGGTGATTTGGGAAAGCTTCCCATAGGAGGTATTGTTGGAATCGGTCTTGAAAGAGCCATACAGTATTTTTAGTAGGCAGAAGGGGAGAGGGGTTACTTACTGGTGCGAGTGAATAGTATGAGACAGTTTTTTACCTTATAGAAGGAAGGATGACTCAGATCATTTTAACCTGAGAGAACTGCCTGAGCAAAGGCAAGGTGATATGAAAACATGAACTGTGTTAGTTGAACAGGAGTAGGTCAGGATGAATGTGATACTTTGGAGGAAGCCAGGGGAGGTCTCCAGAAAAGGGAAAAGAGAAAGGTTTGGGTGTCTCTAGGCTTGGGAGCTTTGGTCTCACTTACGAGGAAGGGTTCATTATGCGTCTTCCTCCTGAGCAGGTTAAATGTGAGTTCCTCTAGCCCCTGTGCCTGGATCTGTTCCAGCCCAATGGTCTTGAGCATTTGGGTGGCTTCAAAGCGGTCCTGAGGTCGGGAGTGAGGGTTAGCGGGGAGGTGTGAAAGATGGATTCCCTTCTTCATCCCCTAACCCTATCCTAGTGCCAGGAAAGGAAGGGTACAGGCAGTCCAGAGCTTACCTCAAGGACACTGGAAGAACACAGCTGGTCTAGGACGGCCCTGATGACTGGGGCTGAGTGCACATGCATCACCTTGACCAGCATCCTAAGTGCCTATGAAGGGCAGGGTAGGGCAGGGTGTACAGGGCCTATAGGCATCTGTGTGGCCAGGTGGACTTGAGGTCTGAGCCTAGAACTGGTGAGGAACAGCTAAGGTCCTTTTTCCTGCCTCTTGGCCTCTTGAGAACAGAAGTTCATGTGTATATATACATAAATGAACACCCATACCTATCAAATATACACAGACACATGTACACTTATATGTCCATATGAACCCATACTTATACATGGACATAGTTGTAAGCACGCAGAGGATACTGCAGTGCTCCACCACTAGGATGGCAGGATCCAGACCACACACAATTCAGCAGCAGCTTCTGTTTTCCCAGGTATCCCAGCCTCCCGCCCCTCACACCTTCATCCGCTGGGTCTTGAGTCCTTGGCACAGGCACTGCAACAAGAACTCTTGGACCATGTTGCTGCGAGGCCTCAGGAAACCCAGGCACAGGGCTGCCTCCAGAGATGCTTCACTGGACGACTTCTTGATCAGTGTCTGTAGTACAGGCACCAGCTTGCCCTCATCCCCGACTTGAGTCCTCTGTGAGGGAGACAGGACACAAAATGGGTAGGGGGAGGGGCTATGTATTTAGCCAGGCTTTGTACTTTATGCTTCCAGACTGTATTCACCTTCCTCCCTAAAATGAATCTTGTGCATCAGATTATTTCACCCAATTAACTTATTCTTGCTGTCACCTACTTGCTCCTAGGTCAGATCTCATTTCTCTATAACTATCTCATGGATGGATCACTGTTACTCTCTTCAACACTTCTTCTGTGTTAATTCCTGTCATTTAAAAAAATGTACATGTGAGTGATCCCATACCTCTCCTCCAATATCCTTGTTCTCTTCTCTGCCTCAGCCATCCCACTGAGAGACCTGATCATTACCCACAAATGCAGCTTCTCCATAATCTCCATTTCATGGATCCCACTCTGACCATCACCTCTTTTTCCAGTTCCTGCGGCCAACAATTGTTTGATTCTACAAGGGACTAATAATCCATTGAGCCTGCCACCTTTGCATTCCTCCACACCTCCGTCCCTCTTGACCCAGCTTAAATTCCATGATCCTGCTGTAATCACTCCCCTTCCTCACCCTCAACTTCTTTACCCACTCTTGCTTCATTCTACTCCCTGGACAGAACTACAATCCTGGCTAAATCCAACTCTCCACTTTGTGCCACTACTTCCTGGAAAAAAACACTGTGGCAGTGAATGATCTTATTAAAATGTGTGAACCACAGACCTCATATAGACCCTTAATGCTGCCTGGTAATCATACTGTTTTTCCCTGGGCAGTTCTCTTTCTCACTCTTCTAATTCACATCGTTTCTGGAACACTTCTTCCTCTATTCTTATTCTTGGCTAATGATCTTGCTTTCTACTTCACTGAGAAAATAAAAGCAATAGAAAGGAAGTTCCATAGACTCCTATGACCACTTCTGTCCAACTTCCAATACTTGCACCCATATGCCCATCCTTTCTACTTGTTAACTATGGACTATAACCATCTATCTAAGGCCAGTCTCCACTTGTGTCAGACTTTATCTCTTCTCTTCTCTGATGACCTGTTTAAGGACATCGTTTAAGAGCATTGTTATTTTTCACACTCTCTTCAAAGTCCTTATTTATTTATTTATTTATTTATTTTTTGAGATGGAGTCTTGCTCTGTTGCCCAGGCTGGAGTGCAGTGGCACGATCTTGGCTCACTGCAAGCTCCACCTCCCAGGTTCATGCCATTTTCCTGCCTCAGCCTCCCGAGTAGCTGGGACTCCAGGCACCCACCACCATGCCGAGCTAATTTTTTTTGTTTTTGTATTTTTAGTAGAGACGGGGTTTCACCAAGTTAGCCAGGATGGTCTCGATCTCCTGACCTCGTGATCTGACCCTCTCTGCCTCCCAAAGTGCTGGGATTACAGGGGCGAGCCACCATGCCCAGCCCAAAGTCCTTATTTTTCTAACAACTGGATCATTACTCCTCAGTGTGGAAACATGCTGTTTTCTTTTTTCTTGACTCTACTTCTGTGCCAACTACTACCTTTCTAGCAAAACTTGGAAAGTTGTCCATATTTGCTGTCCCTAACTTCTTTTCTTCCCAATCTCTCTTAAACCCACTCAAATCAGGCTTTCACCTCCACTACTCCACCAAAATGGCTCTATTAAGATAATCAATGATTCAGCCGGGCGCGGTTGAGCCTAGGTGACAGAGTGACCCGTCTCAAAAAGAAAGATAATCAATGATTCCCACATTGTTAAATCCACATATGAGTTCTCAGTCCTTACATGACTTGATATGTTTGATTTCTCTTCTCTCCTGGATGTATATTCTTCACTTGATTTTCAGAACACCACACTCTTGGTTGTCTTCCTACCCTATTGGCCACTCCTCAGTATTTACTTGTTCCTTCCCTTCTCCCTGACCTCCTAATATTGGGGTGCCCCAAAGCTCAGTGATCTCATCTAGTGTAGTGACATCATATGCTGACAACTCCCAGATTTCCTTCCCTAGTTCAGACTTCTCTCCTAAACTCCAAATTGTATATCTAACCATTTACTTACCACTTCCCTTGGAGTTCTGGTGGATGTTTCAGACATAACTTATCTAAAACTAGATTTCTGATGCAAACTCCAAACCTCTTCTACAGCTTTCTCAACCTTAGTTGATAATAACTTCATCTTTTCAGTTGCTAGGCCAAAAATCTTGGCTTCATCCTTGTTTCCTCATTGTCTTTTACAACTCATTCAACCTGTCAAGAGTTTTGCTTTCAAAATATATCCAGCATTTGAGGCCAGGTGCAATGGCTCAAGCCTGTAATCCCAGCACTTTGGGAGGCTGAGGTGGGCAGATCACCTGAGGTCGAGAGTTCAAGACCAGCCTGACCAACATGGAGAAACCCCATCTCTACTAAAAATACAAAATTAGCCAGGTGTGGTGGTGCATGCCTGTAATCCCAGCTACTCAGGAGGCTGAGGCAGGAGAATCGCTTGAACCCAGGAGGCAGAGGTTGCAGTGAGCTGAGATCATGCCATTGCACTCCAGCCTGGGCAACAAGAGCGAAACCTCATCTCAAAAACTCCCAAAATTATATATATCCAGAATTAAATCACTTCTTACCAACTCCACTGGGATCCCCATGGTCCAAGCCATTATCACATCTCGTCAGGATTATTTCAGTAGCTCCTAATTGATCTCCCTGCTTACACTTTTGGCCCGTAACCCCCAGTCTTTTTGCAGCATATAAGTCAGAGTGAACCTTTTGAAATGTAAGTTACATCATGTTATTCCTCTGCTCAAAATTTCTAATGGCTCCCTATTTCTTTCTTTCTTTTTTTTTTTTTTTTTTTTTGAGACAGAGTCTTGCTCTGTCACCAGGCTGGAGTACAGTGGCATGATCTTGGTTCACTGCAACCTCCACCTCCTGGATTCAAACGATTCCCCTACCTCAGCCTCCCAAGTAGCTGGGATTACAGACATGCGCCACTACGCTCGGCTAGTTTTTTTTTTGTTTTTTTTTTTTTGTTTTTTTTGTATTTTAGTAGAGATGGGGTTTCACCATGTTGACCAGGATGGTCTTGATCTCCTGACCTTGTGATCCACCCACCTCGGCCTCCCAGAGTGCTGGGATTATAGGGGTGAGCCACTGCACCCAGCTGGCTCCCTATTTCACTCAAAGTAAAAGCCCAAGTACTTAAAACAGCCCAGAAGGCCACATATGACTTAGTCTCCTATTAACTTCTTTAACTTGACCTCATTTCTTATTGCTGTATTCTTACTTCACGTTAACCACACTGGCCCTCTTGCTTTTTTTTTTTTTTTTTTTTTTTTTTTTTTACTTTTTAAATGGTTTTATGTGCAAATAATAAGCAGATGTTGTACCCATAAATTCTACTTTCCAAAAACGAGCTTTTTAAAAGAAAACCACATAACAACTTTTAAAAGGCACTGGGATTCCTCTGCTTCTAGATCATTGGTAGGCTAGAAAAATAAAGTTTGTTCTACCGGGAATCACAAGTTAGAACTGAATATTCTCCAAAGTGGAAACTCTAGAGTGTAGTGTCACTCCAGGCAAAGATTATTCAGTTCTCATCCCCAGCATCCACAACTACCTATCAGAAGGGTTAAACCAGGTCAAAGCAGTCCAGCATAATTAGGCTTCATCAAACAATGTCATTATGCTCTTCTAAGATGCAAATAAACCAAAATAGGAAATATTAAAATCAAAATAATATTTGACAGTGTCATACAGATTGTTAGTTCCCTGATGTGTTCCTCCTTCTGTAACATTAATAAAGGGAATATTTTACTGCAAAGAATATTTTGTTTTATATATCACTAGCCATGGATTTTAGCCATTAGTTATTATATGCTGCCTAATGTCATTATCCAAATGGCATAACCGTTTTACGTCCACAATTCACTTCTGTAGTTATAAGTAGAATTTTCATGATTTACATAAATCTATTAGTGAAGATTTAACACTGAGATGAAATCTAACATTCATAATACCTGATGTTTTGTAGATGGCAACGTAGGAAAGATATATTTTAATCACTTTTCATTTAAGTGACCTTATGTAAAAAATAAACTAATAATTTAGCAGTTCGAAGTCTTCAAAGGGCATTTTCAAATGTACATAAAAGAAATGGTTACAGAGATTTTTAAGAAGCATCCTCTTGTCCACATCCTCTTGTAACTGCTGTACCATTTTCTCTTCCAACTGCTTCGCTTTGCCTGCAAGAGGGGCTCGGATAAGATGGATGTTTTGCTTGACTTCTTTGATATCCTGAACTTTCTGTAGCTCTTTATTTTTCTTCAATCTGTTCATTATAAATTTAACGTGGCATTTCTGTTTGATCTCTTCAACTCTCTTCATTGCATCAATAGTTTTATTCCATCGCTCTTGCTAGCATTTGATAGGTTCATTTCTACGTTTTTAAAATTCAAATGAATTATCCACTGTAAGCTCTTTCCGGAATGCTTTGGTCCACCTAACTTTGTGAGGATTGCGCTTCTTTTTATAGTTTTTATGACATTTAGATTTACAAAATCTGAACACCTTGCAATCATTGCGGACAAACATCATGTCGTGGTTTGGGGTAGGTGGGCCCCGAAGAGAAGTAACACTTCTTGATACCCTTGTTGAACCTGTGTAGGTCCTCACCAACCAAACGCCATGCTTGAAAGCCCTCTTGCTTTCTTAACCATGCCAAATATACTCCTCCCTTTGCATTGGTCCTTCTGCCTGGAATGTCTTCTCTCAGATATCTGTAAGGCTAACCCACTCACTTTCTTTATGTCTTTGCTCAAATGCACCTTCTAAATGAGGCCTTCCCTGTCTACTATATTTAACATTGCAACCCATCCCTACTCCCACTTGTCACTCCTGATCACTCTTACTTACCCTGCTATGTAATTGTTTCCATTGTACCTGTCACCTCTAACATACTACATAATTTTCTTTTTCTTTTTTTTTTGAAATGGAGTTTTGCTCTAATTGCCCAGGCTGGAGTGCAATGGTGCAATCTTGGCTCACTACAACCTCTGCCTCCTGTGTTCAAGCAATTCTGCCTCAGCCTTCCAAGTAGCTGGGATTACAGGTGTGTGTCACCATGCCTGGCTACGTTTTTTTTTTTTTTTTTTAGTGGAGACAGGGTCTCACCATGTTGGTCAGGCTGGTCTTAAACTCCTGACCTGAAGAGATCCACCCACCTCAGCCTTCCAATGTGCAGGATTACAGGCGTCAGCCACCATTCCCAGCCTAATTTTCTAAAAATAAATTTATTGGTTATGATGGGTCTCCCCCATTAGAGGGTAACCTCCTCCATAAGGACAGATATCTTTGCCTGTCTGGTTCACTGCTATATCCCAAGGGCCTAGGACAGTGCCCGGCACATGATAGCTGTTTATTTTATATTTGCTGAAAAAATGGATGAATGATGGATTCTCTTTTACATAGAGCAATGATGGGGTCAAAGTAAGAGAACACTAAAGGAGAAAAAAACAGTAGGGTCTGAGGACTCTCTTGGGCCCCGTGTCTTCTTGACAGGTTTTACCTTAATAAGTTATTTTAGAGATGATAATGATAATGATGGTTACCACTGAAAGAGCATAGGCATTGTACTAGGTGTTTTACATACATTATCTCATTTAGTCCTCTCAACAGTACTATCAGGCAATTACAGATGCTCCTCTATTTACAATGACATCCCATGAATGAGTTTATCAGGTTGTAATGTCATACTCATGGTAAGTTAAGGAGTGTACTGAATATGTGTTGTTTTTGCACTGTTGTAAAGTCAAAAAATCATAAGTTAAACCATCTAAATCTGGAACCATCTGTACTGTCTCCATTCTCCATTTTAAATACAAACTGCAGCTCTGAAATTTGGCTTTTCAGAAATGGACTAGTAAATGGCCAAGCCATATGCTTCTATTCAACTTCCGAGGGAACTCCTCAAGGACAGTGTCTTCCTCTATCAAAGCTGTGCTAGGTTAACTTCTTCCTCACCCAACCCCCAGCTAAACCTATCAATTACCTTGTCCAGCTTTGCCCCTAGTTGACTGTCCTCCCAATCACCTTGTCTTTAGAGACAGCAGCCCAGGAGTTAAGAGCCATTCGTAGCCCCGTCAAAGTCTCCATCCTTTGACCCTCATTTTTCTCCTTCAGCTGTTTGATGAGAGCCCGGATCACATGCTTATTTAGGCAACCTGGACAGGGAGGGGCCTCAAGTCAGGGCAGAGCCTCTGGTACTGCCCTTCTCTGCAAGGACCTATTGAACTCCACTTTGCTATTGAGACCTAAGTTCCAAGTCCTAGGTACCACGGTGTTGCCCATCCTCCCAGGATACCAGGGCAGCTGACTGAACATGAACACAATTCCAAGCGCCCTCCCTCTCCCTCTCTCTAATCTCTTTTCCCTTTTCACCCCACCTTCCTCTCTTGGTGCGACATAACTGGGATAGTTCTCAGGCCTTGCCAAATGCTAGGTTGGAGTAGGTGTATGCTCCTCACCCATTTGTCCTTACCCAAAGGAGAAAGTGGTTACACTTTCTCAACTCCCCACCAAGGAAGATGACATACTTACCCAGGATGGCCAGGGTTCGGTAGGCCTCGTACTGTACTTTCTCTGGACCAGTTTGGGCCTAATTTAAGAGGCAGGTGGTAGGAACATATAATAAGGTGATGGAATGTCAGAGCTTTAGGGATTGTCTCAGCTTAACTTCTCATTTTACAAAAGAGGAAACTGAAGCCTAGAAAGTGACCTATCTATTCTCAAATACAGAATACAGGCAAAATGGTTCAATGGAAGGAACAATGCAGTTGGGAGTTAGATGTTTGTTCAAATCTCTATCTGGTATCTAGTAGCCACTTGGTCTTGGGCAAGACCCTTGGTCTTTCAGAGCTTTCATTTTCTTTAAAAAAAATACAGATACTAATTCCTGGTGTTGTTGTAAGAGTTAAATGAGATTATGGATATTAAGAATGCATGTTCCCAGTGGTAAGCTGATGTGTACATATGCGGTGTTTCCAGTTAAGGCAGAGAATGTACTCTGTTCTGGTTTTCAGACTTTCCTGGCTTTTCAGTCCAATAATGTCTTTTTGGTTAGACCGGGGGATCTTCAGATTCTTCCTTCCCCATCTTTTAGATCCAGCTGCTCTTCTAAGAGGCCAAGGACATGAGATGGGGGCATGCTGCACAGTGGTGGCTATGTCCTTACTGGATCTGACCTGCCATCCTAGCACCCTGAGGAGCCTTGTCTATGCCCATGTACCACACATCTCAGACCCTGTTTCCTTCTTTCCTGAACTCCAGCAGTTCTTAGACTCACCACCTGCTGTAGTGCCTTCATGACAAACTTGTCACTGATGCGTAAGCATCCCAGAGCCTGCAGGAAGAGGGATGGAGGAAAGAGAAGGAACCCTGGACACCATCCCCAGGAGTTACCATTCTCTGGACACAGCTGGAGTTTGTGCTTGGAATACCATCCCCATAACCACCATCACATCAAGCAGCTTTTTACTTTCCAGCTCGACCAATTCCTGGCTGTAACCACCCTCCTGTATCCTTGCCTTTTCTCACCTGTGCTGCATAGAATTGCTCATCCTCTCTGGGAGATTCCAGGCTTTTTGTGAGTTCCTGCCCATCCAAGGCAGCCAGTGGAAAGGAAGACAGAGAAAAATACAGAATTTCAAACTAAAGGGAGCTCATCCAATCCAATCCCTTTTCCTACCCTCCCTCTGTTTTTCAGGCAAGAACTGAGGGCTGAAGGATGGTGTGAGCCCAAGGGAAGGGCACCCAGAGGGAGGGAGTCCCCCGCGTCCTTTCCCACATGGTCCTGACCCTTAATCTTTGCCACTTCAGGGGGTCCCAGGTAGGCTCTAAGGGCCTAGATTGCATCTCAGATTTTATAGTCAGCTTGCTCATGGGGAGATGGAACGTTTGGATGTGGGTTTGATGTACTTCTTTGATGTACCTGTGTGAGAAATTGCATAGGCAGCTTTGGTCCCCTTGTACCTTCCCTCCTCAGGTTGCACCCTCACCTCTGCCACAGGGCTGCGGCCCACCTCAGAAATGGGACCAGAGGAAGACAGATGAGGACTCAGTGATATCCACCAGAGCCGAGCCGAGCCGGCCAAGCCAGGTGGAGCTGAGCCGAGCCGAGCTGCCCTAAGCTCCTCTCTGGGACCTGTAGGCTGACTTGCCTTACTCCCTGGGCCACCCCTTCCTTGCCCTTCCTTACTTTCCTAGAAGATGTGGAGAGTGAGGAGAATATGGAGGCCAGCAAAACACACCTATGGTCATCTCTCATTTTCCTCAACATCTTCTCAGCCTCCCGTTCCTCTCGCTGATCATACAGGTCGTGCCAGTGCGTGTAGATCTCAGGTTTATTGAAGTAGCAGTACGGGACTGAGTTTGGCTTGCTCGGATGCTGCCTCCAGCACTCTGGACTTGGGGGAAACTCTTCCTTTGGCATCTGGGTTTGCAAGTGGCAGAACAGTCAGAGGGGTCCCCTAGGCCCTTACTTGGGGTATGGGGAGGAGGGGGTAAAGAGAGGGAAGGGCAGGGTGAGACAGATGCCCTCTAGCCTCTCATCTGAGCTGGAGTCACAGCTGCAACTTAACCCATTGCATAACTTGGGCAAGTTACTTCATCCTAGCAAGGTCTCAGTCTTCTTATCTGTAAAACAAAGCTAATAATCCTTGCTCTGTGTCCCTACCAAGATTATTGTAAAGATCAAAAGAGATCCAGATTGTGAAGCCACTGGTGATCTGTAAATTGATCTGAACACATAGTTTGGTTAGTTGAGGGTCTCAAAGCACTTTGAAAATGGCATTTGGGTAGGGAAATGAAAAGGCAAGGTGTGGGAAGGATGTGGAATAAAGGTGGGGAAAAGACAGACTGTTGCTCATTCAGATACTTATTTGAGTACCAACTATGTGCCAGGTACTGTGCTGGGTGCTAGGACTGCAGTTATCCTTGCCCTCATGGAACTTAACAGTTTAGCAGGAAAACAGACTTTCTTAAAATAATCTATCACTTAAACAATTGTGAAACTACAGCTCTCACTGTAATGGAGGATTTTGAGTGGGTCAGGGGCTTTCTCTGAAGATTTGGCTAGGATTCATCCCTGTCTCTTCTTAAGCCTTTCTTTCACTCTTTGCAACAGATCTGGGCAACAGGGTAGAGGGGCTTCAGCTGTGGTTCCCAACTTTGTGCTGAGAAGATCATAGTAAAGGTTCTCAAGTGATTGGCATAAGTTCAAAAAATGGAGCATTGACTCACAGTGACTAGGGTTGCAGATTTAGGAAGAAAAAAAAAAAAGCTCCCTCCTCCCCAACAACAAAAAAATACTAGGATGTCAAGTTAAATTTGGATTTTAGGTAATGAATGAAATATTCGGGGCACATTTGTACTAAAACACCATTTGTTGTGTATCCAAAATTCAAATTTAATTGGTCATTCTATATTTCATCTGGCAACCCAAACTGTGAGGGTTGCTAACTGTCCCTGTGTTAACTAATAAAAATGACTTCCATTAGTAAGCACTTTCTGTACAGCCAAGGCCTCATAGACTTTGTCTCATAACAACTCCACAAAGGGAGGTGGTCAGGTGTTAGCCTGTGACACAGGAAGCTCCTGAGGCTCTGAGGGGGAAAGTGACTTGTTCAAGATCACAGAGTTAATGGGAGCGCCAGAGATGAATGTCAGGGTTCTATGAGCTGGCTTTAACGGGAAGGGATAGTTTGCTGCCCCTCCTAACTTTGATACAGCTCCCAGGATAGCAAAAGTAAGGGGTCTTACCTGGTAGCAGGACAAGGGCAGATGAACAGGAGCCATGGCTTTTCTGAGTTCTGGCAAGAGGAATAAGAGTATGTGTGTGGTTCAAATGAGATAGCAGTTGCAGGCTGGGCGCGGTGGCTCCTGCCTATAATCCCAGCACTTTGGGAAGCCAGGAAGGGCAGATCACCTGAGGTCAGGGGTTTGAGACCAGCCTAGTCAACATGGTGAAACCCCATCTGAACTAAAAATACAAAAAAAATTAGTCAGCTGGGCACGGTGACTCACACCTGTAATCCCAGCACTTTGGGAGGCTGAGACAGGCGGATCACGAGGTCAGGAGATCGAGACCATCCTGGCTAACATGGTGAAATCCTATCTCCACTAAAAATACAAAAAAGAAATTAGCCGGGCATGGTGGCAGGCGCCTGTAGTCCCACCTACTTGTGAGACTGAGGCAGGAGAATGGCGTGAACCCGGGAGGTGGAGCTTGCAGTGAGCCTAGATCGTGCCACTGCACTCCAGCCTGGGTGACAGGGCGAGACTCTGTCTCAAAAAAACAAAAAAAGAAAAAGAAAAACATTAGCCAGGGGTGGTGGTGCACGCCTATAGTCCCAGCTACTTGAGAGGCTGAGGCAGGAGAATCTCTTGAATCTGGGAGGTGGAGGTTGCAGGGAGCCGAAATCGTGCCATGCCTGGGCAACAGCAAGACTCAAAAAAAAAAAAAAAAAAAGAGATAGCAGTTGCAAAGATGGGTTACAGAATAAATACATTCGAGCATTTATTTATTCAGCATTTAGTGACTACTACTACCAGATATTTCACCAGGCACCGGGCAGATAAGGTATAATTCCTACCTTTAAGTGGCACATAGCCTACTACCTTCCTAACTCAATATGTGGTTTGCGGAGCAGCAGCATTGCTGTGCATATTAGAATATTTGTGGGAATTTTGAACATGGCTAGGTCCTTCATCAAACTAATCAAATCAAATTATGTGGGGATGGGGCCTAGGCATTTTGGAAAGCTCCCCAGAAGATTCTAATGTGCAGCTGAGGGTGAAAACCACTGGGGTCATTCAGTGTCTCAAAATTGATTGTGCATTAGAATTACCTGGAGAGGCTGGGCATGGTGGGTCATATCTGTAATCCCAGCCCTTTGGGAGGCCAAAGCTGGCAGATTGCTTGAGCCCAGGAGTTCGAGACCAATCTGGGCAACAAAATGAGACTGCCCCCTAACCCTCAATTAGGAAAAAAAAAAATCACATGGAGAGTTTGTTAAAACACAGATTTCTGGGACTCATACCCACAGTATCTGATTCACTAGATTAGGGGTGGGGTCTGAGAATTTGGATTTCGTGTTTTTTGTTTTGTTTTTATTGAGACAGAGTCTTGCTCTCTTGCCCGGGCCGCTGGAGTGTAGTGGCACAATCTTGGCTCAGGTCAATCTCTGCCTCCCAGGTTCAAATGGTTCTCATACCTCAGCCTCCCAAGTAGCTGGAATTATAGGCACCTGCCACCACGCCCAGCTGATTTTTGTATTTTTAGTTGAGATAGCGTTTCACCATGTTGGCCAGGCTGGTCTCAAATTCCTGGTCTCAAGTGATCCGCCTGCCTTGGCCTCCCAAAGTGCTGGGATTACAGACGTGAGCCACCGTGCCCAGCTGAGGATTTGCATTTCTAACAAGATGCTGATGCTGCTGGTCATGGGATCACGTTTTGAGGACCACTGTTCTAGCTGGAGAGACAGAAGTGTTTCTTAGTGATTAACAGAGGGAAACAAATGTGAAGATAGATGTAGACACAGGTGGTACACTTGAGGGGTACCTAACCTGGCTGGGAGGATAAGGGAAGGTTTCCTAGAGTGAACTGCACAAGCTGAGTCTTCAATACAAACAGGAGCTAGCCAGGTGGATAAGGGGGAAGAGCATTAGACATGGAACACCCTATGCAAAGATTTGGAGGTGCAAGAATTGAGGGTAAAGAGCAGGGTGCAGGTGTGGGAGAAGAAACTGGGGAGACACACAGGTGTCCCATCTTAGAGGGCCCTGTAGGCCCTGCTGAGGAGCCTGAGACTTACCTTGAGGACTGTGCAGAGCCATCAAGGTGTCCAAGGGCCTGCCTTGATGTTTCCCATGGGTTTGCTGAACTCACCTAGACCCTTGCCTGGGAGTGAGAGCCAGGTAGCATTTCTTTTTCAGTCCCCTTCTCTGGGCTCCATTTCTGTCCATCCCAGCCTCACCTTTGGTCCTGTCTGGATATTCCAGCCATGGATACAGGAACATTGACCTGGAGATATCAAAGATATCAGTTGATTTTTCATAGGCCATCTTCTTCTCCTGGTGGAGCCAGAGGGAACCTGCAGCGGGGAATACAAGGCTTTTAGGGGAGTGGGGGCACAGCTGGAGGAGGCCTCTCCTCTGTGGTGCAAGAGGTACAGGTGAGGTGTCTGGACTTCTGGAGGTAGAAGCTTCCAAGTGCTAAGCAACCAGGTTACTTTGGTAAATAGAACACTCAGGTTTCACTTCTGAGCCCTAGCTGTGGCATTTGAGCTAGTCACTTTATTTTCTGAGTTTCAGTTTCCTCACTGGACAAGTAGGAAAGTCATGTCTGTCTGGCTTAACGAAAGGGCCTGTGGTGAGGCATAAACTGGAGAAGAAAGTCAAACCATTTGGTGAACTGTCAAGCTCAAGTAAGCCCATGTTAGGATCAGGGATTGTTCTTAGGATTAGTCATTGTGAAAATGGCAGGGATGGGAAAGTCCCTTTATTTATTTATTTGTTTGTTTGTTTGTTTGTTTGGAGAGGGAGTCTCATTCTGTCGCCCAGGCTGGAGTGCAGTGGCATGATCTTGGCTCACTGCAGTCTCCACCTCCCAGGTTCAAGCAATTCTCCTGCTTCAGCCTCCCAAGTAGCTAGGACAACAGGTGCATGCCACCACACTGGGCTAATTTTTGTATTTTTAGAAGAGACGGGGTTTCACCATGTTGGCCAGGCTGGTCTCAAACTTCTGAACTCAGGTGATCTGCCCGCCTTGGCCTCCCAAAATGCTGGGATTACAGGCGTGAGCCACTGCGCCTGGCCCTGGAAAGTCCCTTTTATACACACCCTCTCCCTGTCTTTGGCAGCAAAAGACTGAACTCATCTGTGTGGTAAGGAGCTGCCTTTTTCTTTTCTTTTCTTTCAACTTTTTAAATTTTATTTTATTTTACTTTATGTTCCAGGATACATGTGCAGAAAGTGCAGGTTTGTTACATAGATACATGGTAAATGTGTGTCATGATGGTTTGCTGCACCTCTCAACCCTTCACCCAGGTATTAAGCCCAGCATGCATTTGCTATTTGACCTGATGAAGGAGCTGCTTTTTATACCTCTTACTTTTGCATATTCTGTTCCCTCTACCTGTCAGTCTTTTCCTTTTAAACCTGTTAAACTGTCTCTCAGATCTTTCAAAAAGTCCACTCAAATGTTTTCTCATCTTTGAAGTCTTTATTCTCCCTCAGGGTTCCTGCTCCCCACCCCCTGCCCTGACTCTGTGATAGAATTCCCTCTCTCCACAATGTGACCACAGCTTTTTTACACTTTGCTTTACTTTAAGTCTTTTTCATATGTATAATCTGCTCACAGGTCTGTCTTCCTTACTGGACTATGAGGAATTCGATTATAGACTGTATATTGTGTCATTATTAAGTTTCCTGAGTATGGTACGCATGTTGTGGTTTTATATAATGTCCTTGTTATTAGTAGATACATCCTGACACTTTTTTTTTTTTCCTTTTTTTGAGATGGAGTCTTGCTCTATTGCCCAGGCTGGAGTGCAGTGGCGGCAATCTCAGCTCACTGCAAGCTCCACCTCCTGGGTTCATGCCATTCTCCTGCCTCAGCCTCCCGAGTAGTTGGGACTACAGGCGCCCACCATCACGCCGGGCTAATTTTTTGTATTTTTAGTAGAGACGGGGTTTCACTGTGTTAGCCAGGATGGTCTCGATCTCCTGACCTCATGATCCACTCACCTCGGCCTCCCAAAGTGCTGGGATTACAGGCGTGAGCCACCGCGCCCGACATTTTTTTTTTTTTTTTTTTTTTTTTTTTTTTGAGACGGAGTCTCTCTCTGTCGCCCAGGCTGGAGTGCAGTGGCGAGATCTCAATTCACTGCAAGCTCTGCCTTCCAGGTTCATGCCATTCTCCTGCCTCAGCCTCCCGAGTAGCTGGGACTATAGGCGCCTGCCACCACGCCTGGCTAATTGTTTGTATTTTTAGTAGAGACGGGGTTTCACCGCATCCTGACACTTTTTAAAAATTTTTAAATTTATTTTTATTTTTATTTTTATTTTTTAATTATACTTTAAGTTCTAGGGTACATGTGCACAATTTGCAGGTTTATTACAGATGTATGCATGGGCCTGACACTTTTAAGAGTGACATGATATCACATTTGCAACTTACTCTCAAGTGGTTCAGAAAAAAATGTATATACTGACCACACCCTGCCCCCACACACAGATAAAGCAAATGTGGTAAAATGTCAATATTTGACTCTAGATGAAGGGTATGTGGTATATTCTTGCAGATTTCCATACGTTTGGAATTTTGCAAATTAAGGGTGGGAAAAAAAAGCATGGATTTTGGCATTAGACCTGATGGGTTTAAACTTAATTGTAAAGTTTTATCAACTGCTTTATTTTTTTTCTTCTTCTTCTTTTTTTTTTTTTTTTTTCTTTTTTGAGACAGAGTCTGGCTCTGTTGCCCAGGCTGGAGTGCAGTGGCCGGATCTCAGCTCACTGTAAGCTCTGCCTCCCAGGTTCACGACATTCTCCTGCCTCAGTCTCCTGAGTAGCTGGGACTACAGGCGCCTGCCACTATGCCCAGCTAATTTTTTTGTATTTTTAGTAGAGACAGGGTTTCACCATGTTGGCCAGGATGGTCTCGATCTCCTGACCTTTTGATACGCCTGCCTCGGCCTCCCAAAGTGCTGGGATTACAGGCGTGAGCCACCGAGCCTGGCCCAGCTGCTTTATTTTTCTTTGAGCTGTGGAGCTTTGGGCAAATCATTTCCCTCTCTGCTAAGGGTTTTCCTGACTATAAACAGGGCTAATAACTGTACCTAACCCTATAGGGTTTTAAGGATGAAAAAGAATGATGAATGTAAGGGGCTGAGCCAATCCCTGTCACATAGTGAGTGCTCAGTTAATGTTAACTATTATTATGACCACATATATTGTCAATACATGTTTACATAAAGGGACAAGCTTGGGAAAGTTGGAATACCCCACCTTATAGGAGCTGGTGTACTAGTGGAAAAACCACAAAATACCTCATTGTCCTTATTTCAAAGACCTGAGGCATTTGGAATTGCCATTGAATCCCATTCCAGGGGCAAGGGTGGTGTTAAAGAAATCCACTGGGGATAAGGTGGAGGGTAGGCCAGGGAGGAAGGGCCAACCAAGGTCTGAGGAAACAGGGTGACGCTGTGGCAGGCAGTAAGATAAACTCGGGGACTCAGGGGTGGGGACGTAGTGACTATTGTCTCCCCTCCCCCTCGAGTGGATAAGTCACTGATTAGTTTAATTGCTCTGCCTACCCATGCCCCCTTCTCAGAAAGCTTTTGTTTTCAGCCCTGTCATCCAAATCTAGGATGGATATCGGGTGTTTGCAAGCCCTGGAGCCCTCTGTGCTCAATGCTCATGGGGAAGGAGAGTTCCCCAGGAGGAAATCAAACCAAGAGTCAGCTTTATAGTTGCACTGAGAACTTTAATGGAAAGCCGATTTTTCATGTTTGCCGATAAGCTCCTCTGAGGGGTTAAGATGGAAGCTTAGGAGCTCAGTGTTCCTCCCCTCCTTGCCTCTAGAGGCACGTTGACTTCCTTCCTGGTCACAGAGCCCTGGCAAAGCCAAGGGGCTTCAGAGCTCAGAAGCTAGAGACTTCCTTTTGACAAAGCAGCGCCTCAGAAGCTCTTCTAGGCTTTAGATGGGGAGGCTTCTTTTTTTGTTGTTGTTGTGACGGAGTCTCACTCTGTCACCCAGGCTGGAGTGAAGTGGCACAATCTCAGCTCACTGCAGCCTCCACCTCCTGGGTTCAAACGATTTTCCTGCCTTAGCCTCCCGAGTAGCTGGGATTACAGGCATGCACCACCATGCCAGGCTAATTTTTGTATTTTCAGTAGAGATGGGGTTTCATCATGTTGGCCAGGCTGGTCTCAAACTCCTGACCTCAAGTGATCCACCCACCTTGGTCTCCCAAAGTGTTGGGATTACAGGCATGCGCCACCACATCCAGCCTGGGGAAGGTTTTTATAACTGCTGCTGTGTGGTAGAATCTGGGCCCTTCAAGGAGGGGGTGGGGTAGGATAGTGAGGGGAAGCCTCCCAAGCTAGGACAAGAGCAAGCAGAAACAGGCGAATTTGTGTAAGTTCAGGTTCAAGGGCTCTCCATCCTAGCTCATCTCCAAAGAGTTGATGTACTCCCGAACCCATTTCTTCTCTGGGTTGGCACACACTTGGCGATTCTTTCGGGTGACAAAGCTGTGGGAGAGGAGAAGAGGGAGGATGAGACCTTCCCAGTACTGGGACAGCCAGTTTGGGGGATGAAGTGGATTAAGGTATAAAGGGAAATGATAATGGTATTGGGGTAGGGCATATTTGGAGCTCCATAAGATTTTATTTGTGGCTTTTAAGGAGAGGACATTTCCTCTTCTGTTGGCTCAAAGGGCTCCAAGCCAGAAACAAATTTGTGTGCATTTTAACCACCTTCACACAAATATATGTAGCCTGAAAAGCTAAGAGGATATGGAGCCTTGAAACCCAAGGCTGAGCCTGCCAATCACCAGCCTTTTCTCAGTACTTCCTCTGTTCCAGGCCCTGTGCTGGGTGCTTAAGATGCAAAGAGAATAAGGTGTCCCTCAAAACTGAGTCATGGCTGAATAAGTGGAAGACGAGAAGTTCTTTTTTTTTTTTTTTTTTTTTTGAGATGGAGTCTTGCTCTCTTGCCCAGGCTGGAGTGCAGTGGCACAATCTCGGCTCACTTCAACCTTCACCTCCCGGGTTCAAGCGATTCTCCTGCCTCAGCCTCCCAAGTAACTGGGACTACTGGCGCCCACCACCATGCCTAGCTAATTTTTGTATTTTTAGTAGAGATGGGGTTTTACCATGTTGACCAGGATGGTCTCAAACTCCTAACCTCAGGTGATCCACCCACCTTGGCCTCCCAAAGTTTTGGGATTACAGGTGTGAGCCACCGTGCTCGGCCTTTTTTTTTTCTGAGATGGAGTCTCTGTCATCCAGGCTGGAGTGCAGTGGCCGGATCTCAGCTCACTGCAAGCTCCGCCTCCCGGGTTTAACAGGGTTTCACCATGTTAGCCAGGATGGTCTTGATCTCCTGACCTCGTGATCCACCTGCCTCGGCCTCCCAAAATGCTGGGATTACAGGCATGAGCCACCGCGCCTGGCCAAGAAGTTCTTGAAAGAACATCTGATTTGGCTTTAGACAATGCAGTGCCTGGCACACTCAACAAATGAATACATCTGTGCATGGGTGGGTGAATGAAAGAAGGGCATGACCTTGAGTCTTCATTTCACCATTTATTAGTTTGATCATTTTGGGCAAATCACTTAAAGCCTCTGAGTCTATTTGCTTAGCTCTGAAATGTAGATAGAAATAATTATTTGCACAATTACTGTGAAGCTCAAAGGATAATATGCATGAGTAAGTTTGGAAAAATACCATTCATGTGTTGTTACTAGAATGCTCTGAAACTTCTGCTTTAGGGTGGATGAGAGCAACATGAGACTGAAAGTCCTGGTACTAAACATTGTGGCTCAACATGAGATAATGGCAATGTCAAAGCACTTCCACCAAGTAACCAGCCAGAATGTGGAGGCCTATGAGAATCAGAGGCCTTATCTCCATGGGCATTGATGATAAAGCTGGAAAAGTTGGGGGTCATGAGGGTCAGTCCAGCTGCCTGCCTCACCTGTCTGCTGGGAGACTGATTCTACCTGTGGGAGACCTTGGGCCTTGCTAGCAGTGCTGCCAATTAACACGTTACTTTAGGGTCAGTCCTGCCTAGTTACCCTTTCCCATTTTGGCTTTTCCTTTAGGAATTTTTCCTGCACATTATTATTATTATTATTTGAAATTTGAACATTGATTTTACTTAAGTTCAAATACTGGATATGTTATTTTAGAGGTTTTCATAGGAAGAAATTCAACTTTTTTTTTTTTTTTTTGAGACGGAGTCTCGCTCTGTCGCCCAGGCTGGAGTGCAGTGGCCGGATCTCAGCTCACTGCAAGCTCCGCCTCCCGGGTTTATGCCATTCTCCTGCCTCAGCCTCCCGAGTAGCTGGGACTACAGGCGCCTGCCACCTCGCCCGGCTAGTTTTTTGTATTTTTTTAGTAGAGACGGGGTTTCACCAGGTTAGCCAGGATGGTCTCGATCTCCTGACCTCGTGATCCGCCCGTCTCGGCCTCCCAAAGTGCTGGGATTACAGGCTTGAGCCACTGCGCCCGGCCGAAATTCAACTATTTACTGTGCGGCCATCCAGAAGTTTGTTTGTTCATTTGTTTGTTTATTTATTTATATTTTTGAGACAGGGTCTCACTGTCACCCAGGCTGGAGTGTAGTGACATAAACACAGCTCACTGCAGCCTCAACCTCCTGGGCTCAAGTGATTCTCCCACCTTAGCCTCCTGAGTAGCTGGGACCACAGGTGTACACCATCACATTTGGTTAATTTTTTAAAAATTATTTTTGTAGAGACAAGGTCTCACCATGTTGCCCAGGCTGGTCTCAAATTCCTGGGCTCAAGCCATCCTCCTACCTCAATCTCCCAAAACGTTGGTATTACAGGGGTAAGCCACCATGCCTGGCCAGAAGTTTATTTTATTTTTTATTTTTGAGATGGAGTTTTGCTCTTATTGCCCAGGCTGGAGTGCAGTGGCACAATCTCAGCTCGCTGCAACCTTCGCCTCCCGGGTTCAAGCGATTCTCCTGCCTCAGCCTCCTGAGTAGCTGGGATTACAGGTGCGCACCACCATGCCCAGCTGATGTTTTTGTATTTTTAGTAGAGACAGGGTTTCATCCTGTTGACCAGGCTGGTCTTGAACTCCTGACTTCAGGTGACGACCCACGTCAGCCTCCCAAAGTACAGGGATCACAGGCGTGAGCCACTGTGCCCAGCTAGAAGTTTATTTTTTAACTCTTATTGACCCACACAGTATGCCACATGATTACATGGCATAACAAAGGAATTATATGTCTCAAACAACACAGAAATTCCACCTTTGCTTTTGTGATTACTATCACATTTAAAAGAATAGAAATGTATTCCCTAGATGGAAATATTATTCCCAAATATGTTCTGATGTGCTAGGTACCCACCTTATTTAAATATTTCATCACTTATTCATTTTTTTGGTTTAATATTTTCATTCTTTCTATATGCATGTATCGGTGTATCTGTCAAAGTCACTAAGCTCTTGTGGTTCTGATTCTGTGCCTAAGAGCATGAATTTTTTTTTAAAATCGTGGTAAAATATTAGTAACATAAAATTTACCATCTTAACCATTTTTGGATGTGTCCTGCACATTCTTGAGCCTAAATGTTTTCAGACAAAGTGAAGCCTTAGATTGTCTGGTAAGAATGAGGATTTCTTGGTTTCTCTTTGGGTTTCCCTTTTCCCAGTCTCATTCAGAGCCACCTGACCATCTCTTTTTCTCCCACCCTGGTGTGCAGAGATAAGAAAGGGAGCGGAAGCAGTATTCTGGCCTCTCATACTTCCTAGAGTTTGTGTTCTTTTTTAGGGTGGTGTGAGAGTTTCACACCCAGACCATGCCCTGGTTCAGCCAGGAGTCATACAGGAAATCCTGCCAGACTTGCTATCACTCTCTCTTTGGCATCCTTGACCTGTGACTAGGAAATCAAAAAGCCAGGAAATCAATACCTGAGGTAAGGGTAGCTCAGGCCTCCATTTCCTGCCCCCAAACTCCCCGCAGATTGTGATACCGAAGAACAGCCCCTCCTTGCCAAGTCTTCCCTCCTTACTTCCATTTTTAGCACCCTCTGCTTGCCTGACTTCCTCCTTCTGCCTGCCCCTTAAGAGCGGATGTTCTCAAAGCTGCTGCCCTTTTCTCTTCTTTGTGTTTTTTCCTAAGTCTCTGGCCCTGGGCCTGGCACACAGTTGATGCTTAATGGATTTTTATTGAATGAGTAAGTGAATGAACGAATTGCATTCATTCCTTAAGTTTCACCTGTTACTTTTGTGCATGCAATAATGCATTTAGATGATGATGATAATAATAAGCTAATATTTATGCACCTACTGTGTGCCAGAGCATATTGTAAGCATTTTCATCTTACTGTGACCCAGTGGGGGAAGTACTTCTATTACCCTATTTTGTAGAGGAGGAAATTGGGGTCCCAAGAGGTTAATTGAAAGGCCTACACCCGGCAAGTGTCATAGCTGGAGTTCTAACAAAGCAAACTAGCTCTAGAGCCAGTACTCACCAAGGCAGGCTGCATTGCCTTTTTAAAGTTGGGATACCCCTTTTTCCTACAAAAGAATGTCATGTTTTCAGCCCTAACACCATTTCCTCAGCTACCAACCCTTAATTTCACCGTCACCACTGGATATATCCACAGGGTTATCTTGCTGGCACCTTAGCTCTTTCCTCTTTAAACAGCTCTTCCACAAGGCTTAAGATGGTTCTACATTTCTCCAGCCAGAGGTGGAAACCTCAGTGTCATCCTCAACCCCCATATTTCTCCCTTGCTCTTGACCTCAAATCACCTGCTAGGGTTTGCAAATTCCACCTTTGAGGGTTTCAAAGGTGTCTGTCTTTGAAACCTCCTGTTTCTCCTTTCCTTCAGGCACTGTTCAGGTTCCAATGCTACTCACATGGAAAACAGTAGCCGCTAAACTGGACTCCTGTTTTCTCAGCTTTCCCTGTTCTAGCTCATTTTACACTAGACAGCTCTAGCACTTTTGCTGCATTTTCCTGACACTCTGTGCTTTCCTACATGGAGACTCTACATTAACCAAAGTAGAATCCTGGGGGACAGTCCCTCTTCCTGATATATCCCATTCCCTAGGCTTTTCTCTGCCAGGCCAAATCTCTCCTCAGACAGCACCATTTGCAGCAAACCTGTAAATCCCTGAAGCTGAATATGTTTCCTCTCTCTTTCCCTTGTCATGTTTTTTTGCTGGGTACTCTAGTCATTGCTGTGTCTGTCTTGCCCCTCTTATTAGACTATGAGCCCCATAAGGTTGGGCTGGGACAGTGGCTTTAGTAATCTGTGTCTGCCCATAGTATGTGCTCAGGGAAGGATTTTCTTCTTTTGAAAAATATTTGTTTTCAGAAATAAAATTAGTAGTTGTTAAATATTACCACTATACTTCAAAAAATTCATCAGACCCAAAGTCTGTCTTTGAATACCTCTAACTTTGACAGTGTCATAAAAATTTTTGCATTAAAAAACTTCACCCTGGCCAGGCGCGGTGGTTCACGCCTGTAATCCCAGCACTTTGGGAGGCCGGGCTGAACAGATCACTTGAGCTCAGAAGTTCAAGACCAGCCTGGCCAACATGGTGAAACTCCGTCTCCACAAAAATTACATAAGTTAGCTGGGCGTGATGGTGCGTGCCTGTAATCTCAGCTACCTGGGAGGCTGAGGCAGGAGAATTGCTTGAACCCAGGAGGCAGAGGATGCAGTGAGCTGAGATCACACCATTGCACAACAGTGAGCTGAGATCACACCCTGGGCAACAGAGTGAGTGAGACTCTGTCTCAAAACAAAAACAAAAACTTCACTGTTATATAGGAAACTTCAGGATTGCACCATTTTCATTTTTGAAGTCTCTGCCATACATTTCTTAAGCAATTGTCACTAATGACTTTGCTATAGCAGAAAGAGGAGGCTCTAGAGATGGGCTTCATCCCTCATTTACTGTGCAGCCTTGGCTAAGTCAATAAACCTCTCTGAATCTTAGTTTTAATACCTGAAACATGGAGAGAATTATGCATACTTGTCAGAGCTAAGTGTAATTTAAAGATCATGCACATAAGACATTTGACACATAGTAGGCATTTCCTATATAGTAGGGTTTATTATATTTTTCCAAATATACTAGCTTGCATATTTAAAGGTGAATCTTATTTCCTTATTTCTTCTTTGATGGATGGCTTTTTTTTTTTAATTATTTGACTGCAATTATAGATCCCTGACCTCTGACCTCTCCTCCCTAGTTCCTCTGAGGTTTAGGTGGATTTGACTGGGTGTGAAATATGGGGGACTGTAGGATTCTTCACTGAAGGGGATGACTGACTTGATCTTCCCCACACAGTAGCATTCCAGACCATGTTGAAGTAAAGGCCACACCAGTAAAGATTGGAGTCCTAGGCTGGGCGCGGTGGCTCACACCTGTAATCCCAGCACTTTGGGAGGCCAAGGTGGGTGGATCACGAGGGCAGGAAATCGAGACCATCCTGGCTAACACGGTGAAACCCCGTCTCTACTAAAAAATACAAAAAATTAGCCGGGCACGGTGGCGGGCACCTGTAGTCCCAGCTACTTGGGAGGCTGAGGCAGGAGAATGGTGTGAACCCAGGAGGTGGAGCTTGCAGTGAGCCAAGATCGTGCCACTGCACTCCAGCCTGGGCGACAGAGTGAGACTCCATCTCAAAAAAAAAAAAAAAAAAAAAGACTGGAGTCCTAGGAACATAGTCCATCAGAGTGGGCAGGATTCTCTAAGGACAGCTTGTCTAGTCTTTTTTCATGATAGCAGGGGACTCTGAGGCTAGAAATGGAGGAGCTGTGGCTGCTCGTAGCTGGAGGATGGGTGGGAGTGGGTAGGGCATCCTCTCAGAGGACTACTGAGGGAACAGGCTCTGGGAGGGCTCCATGGCGCTGAGACTCACACGACTGCTGGGTTGGAGCACTTGCCACTGGTGTAGAAATACTCCTTGATGTGGGCACGGGGCAGTGGGCGGGCAATGTAGGCAAAGCAGCAGGGTGTGGTGTCTGAGGCATCTGGAAGAGGAAAGGAAGGAGGGAGACCCTTTTATTCATTGCTACTGCACACTAGACATTGTGCTGAACACTTTGTATGATCTATTTAGAAAGAACTGTTATCTTCCTTGACAGAAACTGAGGCTCAGAGAGGTAAAGTCACTTGGCCATGGATAAACGGTGGCAGAGTGGGGATTCCAACCCCTCATCTAATCTTTGAGCCAAGCTTGTATCCACTCCTCTACACCATAACCCTCTGCCCTTGGCTCTCAGGGCCTCCTCCTGGCTTGTCCTGGGTCCTCTGGCCTCATTCATGCCCTTCCAGAATCCTCAATGGATTCAGAACTTGGTTTCTTTGAGACCTAGGGCAGGTTGTGGGGAGGCTTCCAAGGCTCAGGCTCCATAACTCAGCCAGGATCCTAAGAGCAGCCTGGAGATGCATATTGTATCTTGAGAGCTCCTGTTGAGCTTCAGTGAGAAGGGCTCTCAACAGAGAACTTCTTGTTGGTCAGTTAATTCAAGATCACGCTGGGAAGCATCAGTTGCCACTTCCCAGCAGAGGAGTAGTTTTTATCTTCCCAGCGAGATGGAACCAGGTTTGAATATCAGTCTCCCCATTTCCTAGCTCTGTGCCTGCCCATGGACAAGTTACTTAACCTCTCTGTTTTCCCATCTGTAAGTCAAGGACAGCTACTCAAAGAAGAGTTGTAGGTATTAAATAAGATGTACAAAAATCAGCCAGGCGCGGTGGCTCACTCCTGTAATCCCAGCACTTTGGGAGGCCGAGGAGGGTGGATCACGAGGTCAGGAGATCAAGACCATCCTGGCTAACACGGTGAAGCCCCGTGTCCACTAAAAGACACAAAACATTAGCCAGGCATGGTCATGGGCACCTGTAGTCCCAGCTACTCTGGAGGCTGAGGCAGGAGAATGGTGTGAACCCGGGAGGCGGAGCTTGCAGTGAGCCGAGATCGTGCCACTGCACTCCAGCCTGGGCGACAGAGCAAAGACTCCATCTCAAAAAAAAAAAAAAAAGAAAAAAGATGTACAAAAATCAGCACAATGCCTGATCCACAGTAGCCATTTAATTAGCTTTTATTATCCTCTCTTTGTTTTTATTTGTTTTTTAAATGTATTCACTCTAATAAAGCCACATACCCTCTCATAAGCCAATTTTTTACATTTATGAAAAGAGAGAGAATATGGCTATCTCAGGGTCTCAGAAAGTTTTAGTTTAGTTAAATTTCTCAGAAACCCTGCTGCTGACAGGCATGAGTCAGTCGTGTTTCAAAGTCAGTGTGAGCTACTCATGACTACTAATCTCCCCAACATGAGTCCACACTCAGTGAACTCCTGTAGGCCTTGGGGGTGTAGACCTTGAAGACAGGAAAACTGATCAGGAGATCCCTGCCATGAAGCAGCATAGAGATCCCTCAAGGACAACAGGACATCTGGGTAAGACAATCCACAAGAATGTAAATAATGGGGTTCGGACAATATTCATGCTACAGTTGAAAAGAGGGCAAGGTCTGGGACAGTCATTGGGATGGGGTGGGCATTCTAGGCAGAGGGTCCGACTCCACAGGCGGTGGTGGTCAAGACCAGGACTTACGTGGGGAGGCAGATGCAGGAGCGCAGAGGGCTGTAGCAACGAGGATGACAGCGAGGGCAGCCACGGAGACCTTCATGGTACCTGTGGGAGAGGCTGTGGGAGGTCCACGTGCTGTCACAGGATCCTCTGCAGGAATCCTCTGCAGCTCAGGCTGGCTCTTTATAGGGCCAGTTAAGGGGTATCCCCTAAGGGGAGTTTCCAAAATAGCAACCAAGCATTGGCCGGTATCATAAGTGAAATTGCACATAACGGAAAAGAAAACTGAAATAGCCTCCGGAAATTCGAGTCTCTGTCTCCCCCTCACTGCCCTCTCATCTAGAGTGAGCTCATCAGTTTCCCCTTTGACCAAGCACCAGTGGTGGAAACATTTCTCTGCTGACATCCTTAGTTTTACCTTCCAGGGAAGGGGTCCTCCTCAGACAGCAGTAAGCTGCTTCCTTGGGGACAACAAGGACAGGCAGTTAGAACAGGATCATAAGTCACTAAGTCTTTATTACTCACTGAGTCACTGAGTCTTCAAAGTTCCTGCTTATTCATTACAGATCTTATCTCCTTTCCCTCATCCACGGTTATTTATAAGGTGTTTTATTGAGGAGGGTGCTCTGGATATACAGTCCCCAAAGGAGGTGAGCGCACTCTCACTGTACATTGAGGCAGTTGATCTGAGCTGGGCATTGGGGACCTTTTCACCAGATATAAGTTGGAATGAGTCCTCTTGTGGGAATTTCTTTCTTTCATCCTGGCCATAGGGTCTCTCCCATTTACTTGCTAAGTGACCTTTGGGAAAAGTGCTTAATGTCTTTGAGTTCTATTTCCTTGTTTATAAAGTAGAATAATTGATTAGAGGCTTGTTGAGAAGCAGAGAGAGAGAGAAAGATCTCTTACAGCATACTCTACCATTATTGGCTACCATTTACTGAGGGCTTATCTGTGCCAGCCACTATTCTACCGGCTTAGCGTGTGTCAACTCATTTACTATTATTATCCCCACTTTATGAATGAGGAAACTCAATATAATACTGGGATCCCATCTCACTGAAGGCCTTCTTGGGCACAAAAGTTACAGAATATGAAAGCTTCAGAGGACTTTAGGGATCCATTTTTTTTCCATGTTCTTCAGTTGCACAAGAGGAAATCAAGGCCCAGTGAGCAGGAGTGACTTGCTAAGAACACACAGCAAATGAATGACAGAGATCATTCATCAGAATGATCAGAACACAGTTGCCCTCGCTCCCACTTCGGTGCTCCGTCCATTAAGTACTGCCCAACATTAAAGGGTTCGTGGTTAGGAGTATCCTCAAAACTGAACCCATGTGGAACTTCTGGATTAGAGCCGGGGTCCTTATTCCATTCCAAAGAACTGGATATAGTAAGTCTTTATCAATTCCTATTTTAGTAGTTAACAATTAGCAACAATTTGATCTGGGCTAGGCTGAAATTGGCATCTGAATTATTATTATAATTATAATTATTATTATTTTTGAGATGGAGTCTTGCTCTGTCGCCCAGGCTGGAGTGCAGTGGCATGATCTCGGCTCACTGCAAGCTCCGCCTCCTGGGTTCATGCCATTGTTCTGCCTCAGCCTCCTGAGTAGCTGGGACTACAGGTACCCGCCACCACACCTGGCTAATTTTTTTGTATTTTTAGTAGAGACAGAGTTTCACCGTGTTAGCCAGGATAGTCTCTATCTGCTGCCCTCATGATCCACCTGCCTTGGCCTCCCAAAGTGCTGGGATTACAGCCGTGAGCCACCGCGCCTGGCTGGCATCTGAATTATTTAAAAGAAAAGTGTTTATTGAGAATGACAAAAGCAAAATAAACAAAATGTAACCCTCTACTGAGATCATTTTCTGTTTGCTACTCTCACACTTGTAACATGGTGGTTGACTAAATCACCCAGAATGGGAAGACTTTGTCACATTTCTTCCTCACGATGACTTTGAGGCAGAGTGGTTATTATTCTCATTTGACTAAAAAGGAAACTAAGCCTCAGAACAGACAGCATCTTCAAGCTCAGGCAGCTGATAAGTGGGATTTGAAGGCAGGTGTTTCTGATGACCATGCCCCAGCTCTGACCAGTGAATCACATCAGTAAGGCAGTTAACAGTTATCAAGGCCTTTCTAGGTTTCAGCTGCTATTCCAAGCTTTTTTTTTTTTTTTTTTTTTTTTTTTTTTGAGACAGAGTCTCACTCTGTTGATCAGGCTGAAGTGCGGAGGTGCGATCTCGGCTCACTGCACCCTCAGCCTCCCAAGTTCAAGCAATTCTCCTGCCTCCTGAGTAGCTGGGATTACAGGCATCGCCACCATGCCTGGCTAATTTTTGTATATTTAGTAGAGACAGGGTTTCACCATGTTGGCCAGGCTGGTCTCGAACTCCTGACCTCAGGCGATCCGCCCACCTTGGCTTTCCAAAGGGCTGGGATTACAGATGCGAGCCACCGCGCCAGGCCTTGTTCCAAGCTCTTTACAACAATCCTCTCATACCCTCCTTACAGCTCAATCAATTAACAATGGAAACACAATTTTGGAAAGTATGGCCATCTCATTTAAAGAAACAAATTGCAAGCACTTTAGAAACATTCATCCAGCCACATAAAAATGTTCTAGCAATTGTTTCCTTCACAAAGCCATGTTAGGTCTAAGGTAAGTTGCCAAACATGTGAGAGGTTCTGGAAAAGGCAGTGGGTTAAGAGCAGGGACTTGGCAGTTTCTCCTGTTCATTGGCCAGGTGGCCTCAGGTAAGTTATTAATAATCTCTCTGGTCTCAGTTTCCTTACCTATAAATCAGTGATAATAATAATAGTCCCTCACACAACTATCAAGACAATTAAGTCCCTATAAATGTTCTCATGCTTGCAAAGCTCTTAGTGCAACGTCTGACACATGTTGTTAAGTATTTAATAACACTGGCTATTATTATCATGCTATCATTAAGAGTAAGATGTCAGTGCCTTTAAGGATATTCTGTAATTTATGCTTTTCAGCAGTCTAAACTAAACCCCCAGTCAATATTACAAAAAATCTTTATTTATTACAAAAATCTTTTTTTTTTTTTTTTCCGAGACGGAGTCTCGCTCTGTCGCCCAGGCTGGGGTGCAGTGGCATGGTCTCGGCTCACTGCAAGCTCCACCTCCCGGGTTCACACCATTCTCCTGCCTCAGCCTCCCAAGTAGCTGGGACTACAGGCGCCCACCACCACACCTGGCTAATGTTTTGTATTTTTAGTAGAGACAGGGTTTCACTGTGTTAGCCAGGATGGTCTCGATCTCCTGACCTTGTGATCCACCCGCCTCGGCCTCCCAAAGTGCTGGGATTACAGGCGTGAACCGCCGCGCCCGGCCTTTTTTTTTTTTTTTTTTTTTTTTTTTTAAGATGGATTCTCTCACTTTCGCCCAGACTGGAGTGCAGTGGCGCGATCTTGGCTCACTGCAAGCTCCGCCTCCCGGGTTCACGCCATTCTCCTGCCTCAGCCTCCCGAGTAGCTGGGACTACAGGCGCCTGCCACCATGCCTGGCTAATTTTTTGTATTTTTAGTAGAGATGGGGTTTCACTGTGTCAGCCAGGATGATCTCGATCTCCTGACCTGGTGATCCACCTGCCTTGGCCTCCCAAAGTGCTGGGATTACAGGCATGAGCCACCACGCTTGGCCACAAAAAGTCTTTTTTAAAACAGATGGGTCGTTGAGGCTTAGAGAGGTTAAATGACTAGCTTATAGTCACAGCCTACAGTAGTAGAGTTCAACATTGAACCCATGTCTGGGTTCATAGACTTTCTACCACACTTCATTGTTTCTAGAGAAAATCATAAAACGATTGCCAAGGCTCAGTTTTCTCCTGTGAGCTCAATTTCTGTTTTCTTTCCTTGATTGCAGTTTCCCTCTTTAAGGAAGAAAAGAAAGTGTTTTCCTGGATACCAGATATGCTGAGTTGGGACACGAGCTAAGGACAGAGGTGAGGAAACCCGCAGACAACACCGACATGCTCCTCATCTTTGAATCCCAGCAAACCTTTCCACTGTGTGTGTGTGTGTGTATGTATATCTGTGTGTAAGTGGTGGTGGGACAGGGGGTGGTGGGTAGGATGGTGGGATGTTGGGATTGCTGAGTGGGAATAGGCAGTGGGAATGTCAAGAGTACTTTTGTTGTTGTTGTTGTTGTTGTTTGAGACAGCATCTCACTCTGTTCCCCAGGCTGGAATGCAGTTGCTGATCACCTGCAGGCTTGAATTCCAGGGTTCAAGAGATCCTCCTACTTCAGCCTCCTGAGCAGCTGGGACTACAGGTGTGCACCACCATGCTGGGCTAATTTGAGACGGAGTCTGGCTTTGTTGCCCAGGCTGGAGTGCAGTGGCACGATCTTGGCTCACTGCAAGCTCCGCCTCCCAGGTTCACGCCATTCTCCTGCCTCAGCCTCCCGAGTAGCTGGGACTACAGGCACCTACCACCACGCCTGGCTACTTTTTTGTATTTTTTGTAGAGACAGGGCTTTACTGTGTTAGCCTGGATGGTCTCAATCTCCTGCCCTCGTGATCCGCCCGCTTCAGCCCCCCAAAGTGCTGGGATTACAGGTGTGAGCCACCGTACCTGGCCTTTTTTTTTTTTTTTTTTTTTTTTTGAGACAGAGTATTGCTCTGTCACCCAGGCTGGAGTGCAGTGACACGATCTCGGCTCACTGCAAGCTCCGCCTCCCTGGTTCACACCATTCTCCTGTCTCAGCTTCCCAAGTAGCTGGGACTACAGGCGCCCACCACAATGCGTGGCTAATTTTTCGTATTTGTGGTAGAGATGGGGTTTGACCATGTTAGCCAGGTTGGTCTTGATATCCTGACCTTGTAATCCGCCCGTCTCGACCTCTCAAAGTGCTGGGATTATAGGCATGAGCCACTGCACCATACTGGGCTAATTTTTAAATTTTTTTATAGATGGGATCTTGCCATGTTGCTCAGGCTGGTCTTGAAGTCCTGGCTTCAAGCAATCCTCCCACCTTGGCCTCCCAAAGTGCTGGGGTTGTAGGCATGAACCACCACACCCAGCCGTGGGAGTATTTTTCTTCCCTTTCATTGATTCCAATAGATTGTGAGGAGCACAGGAGGGAGGAGAATCTAATTTTTATTTCATTTCTACCATTCATTTTCTCCTATGCAAAATCAAGGTTTGGGCTTGATGGGCTATCTTCAATTTTTTCTCTGGTGCTAATGTACTGATTCCATGTATAAGCAAATTAGAGAGCCCACGTAAACAGTATGGTGCCTGGTACAGGGTGGGTGTTCAATGAATGGCAACTGTCATTATTATTCACCCAGCACATTATATTCCTGAAAACCAGGAACTCCTTCCTGTCTGACCCACAGTAGTGGTGGAGAGGATCAAGGGCAATAATGATAATGGATGTGCTTAGGAGACGTAAGGTGAGGTATACCAGTACACCATCATGGAGCAGTCGCTGCTCTCCCTGTGCCTTCAGTGTGCGTGGTCTGTACCCCTCAGTCATTCCTTACCCACTCTACAGATTTTACTGAGAATTGCTATGAGCTGGGCACCATTCTAGGCACTGCAGGCACCATGGCTAGTA